CTCCTCCTGCTGCTTCTCCTCCTCCTCCTGCTCCTTCTGATTATGACGTCTTAATCTTTGTCTTAATCTGTTGTTGATCTAACTGTTATCTGGCCTGCTTTCCTCTCCTCCGTCTCCTCCTCCCTGGCTCACTTCTCTCCTTCCCTCTCTCTTCCCTGTGTCTCCAGCCGCCGCCGTCCCCTGACGGAGCTGCTGGATCAATGTCGCCCTCACTCTTCCAACTCGCCAAAAAACGCACGGTGTCACCCGCGACCCGGAAGGTGAAAGATTTCTGCGAACGTTATTTCGCAGCTCGAGTCTTGCGGGTGGCTCATGTCCTCGCGTTCGGTTGGTTCGAACCCCGACCCTGATGTGTGGTGGTCAGGCCCCCAGCCACACCAACACTCAGGAGAGAGTATGTGTATTTGAACGCGATTGAACAATTCGGTCTTGTAATGGTGTTTGGTCTCGTAGGGACTTAAGGTCTCACTCAGTCCTGCTTGACTCTCTCTTGTTTATAATAACTTTGTGATGCTATGCTGTCTGTTGTAGCTTAGGGAGAGTGTGGGTCTCTGAGGGCGGGAGAGCGTGGACCTCCCAGGGAGAGGGTAAGGGGCAATCACTACAAGAGACAATACAAGGCAGGTGAGGGGCCAGGTGCGGCTCCCTCCCCTCACCTAACCCTCCTCCTCCTGCCCTGGCCCCCTCACCTACCTCACAATACCTCACAATACCGAGCCTCCACTACCAAGTCATGCACTTCCCTGGTGAACGAGGTCTGGTCTCTCTCTCTCTCTCTCTCTCTCTCTCTCTCTCTCTCTCTCTCTCTCTCTCTCTCTCTCTCTCTCTCTCTCTCTCTCTCTCTCTCTCTCTCTCTCTCTCTCTCTCTCTCTCTCTCTCTCTCACTCACACACACACACACACACACACACACACACACACACACGGGACCAAAGAGCCAGAGCTCAACCCCCGCAAGCACAATTAGGTGAGTACACAATTCCAACTGGGAGTAAAATATAAAAAAATAGTCCAGGTGACAGAGGGGATCATCCCATTTTCTGTGCGGTCTGTCACAGAAAATGGGACATTGTTATGGTAATTCATTTCCTGTGACGTGTGGCTTGCCCAGTGAACTGACGAGGAAGCTTCTGCCTTGAGCTGTGGACGAGGACGTGGAGCCGTGGGGGGGGGGGCATGTGACACATGATACACATTGAATTGTGTGTGACTGTTTAATAATAATAATAATAATAATGAAACTACCCGCTATAGGTGAGTGTTGTGGAGGGAACGAAAGTCCCTAAAACAGTTTCTCACGCCATAGCGTCCAATCTCCGACCGTCCGAGTGATTGGGCACCATTCCTACCCACTGTCCCATCTCAAATCCTTATCGTGATCCCTTCCAAGTGCTATATAGTCGTAATGGCCTTGTACGACTTCTCCTGATAGTTTCCTTCCCTTCCATAGCGACCACTCACACCACCACCACCATCACCACCACCACTACTACCACCACCACGACCATCCCCAGCCCTTAGATTTTCCCACGAGAAAATTGTGTGAGTGGGGGGGGGGAAGGGGAGGTGGAGGTAAGAGGGCAAGGGTGGGGGGGGGGTAGGGGAGGAGGGAAGGCCCTACGACCCCCCGTCTCTTCCTCTGGGCAACTGCCTGACCCATACCTGCAAGAGTGTGGTGATTACAGGTGAGGGGAGAATGGGGCACAGGTGAGGGGAGAGTGAGACACAGGTGAGGGGAGAGTGAGACACAGGTGAGGGGAGTGAGACACAGGTGAGGGGAGTGAGACACAGGTGAGGGGAGAGTGAGACAGATGAGGGGAGAGTGAGACACAGGTGAGGGGAGAGTGAGACACAGGTGAGGGGAGAGTGAGACACAGGTGAGGGGAGAGTGAGACACAGGTGAGGGGAGTGAGACATAGGTGAGGGGAGAGTGAGACACAGGTGAGGGGAGAGTGAGACAGGTGAGGGGAGAGTGAGAGCTAAGGAGCATATGGGAGGTATAAGAGTAAATAGATTTGGAAAAGGTAAACAAACTTCTTTACTCCTGTACCAGTCTGCCCCCCCCCCCCTGCACCCCCACTTGCCCCCCCCCTGCACCCCTCATTGATCACCCCCCCCCCACCACATGCCCTTCTCCTCCCTCCCCTTCACCCCCCCTCCCTTTCACCCCCCCCCCCATCAAGAACCTATACTTCACCGTGGACGCTCGGCACTTATTGGTTATAAATATCCATTCTCTCTCTCTCTCTCTCTCTCCTCTCTCTCTCTCTCTCTCTCTCTCTCTCACTCTCACTCTCACTCTCACTCTCACTCTCACTCTCTCTCTCTCACTCTCTCTCTCACTCTCTCCAGTAACAGGACCAGTCAATAAGTCACAGTCACATGGCGCCAGTCGACGGCAGCCTCGACCTTCTAGCAGGCGGGTATAAGGGCGAGTCTCGGGTGGACAGCCTCTCGCCCGAGCAGTTAATTGGCCAGTAGCACAGAAAGCGAAGGTACTGCACATAATAGCCTCATAACGATATATATATATATATATATATATATATATATATATATATATATATATATATATATATATATATATGTCGTACCTAGTAGCCAGAACGCGCTTCTCAGCCTACTATGCAAGGCCCGATTTGCCTAATAAGCCAAGTTTTCCTGAATTACTATATTTTCTCTAATTTTTTTCTTATGAAATGATAAACCTACCCATTTCATTATGTATGAGGTCAATTTTTTTTATATGAGTTAAAATTAACGTAGATATATGACCGAACCTAACCAACCCTACCTAACCTAACCTAACCTATCTTTAAAGGTTAGGTTACGTTAGGTAGCCGAAAAAGTTAGGTTAGGTTAGGTAGGTTAGGTAGTCGAAAAACAATAATTCATGAAAACTTGGCTTATTAGGCAAATCGGGCCATGCATAGTAGGCAGAGAAGTGCGTTCTGGCTACTAGGTACGACATATATATATATATAGACGAGGCATTAGAGGAGCGTCTACAAGAGTCATCTAGTAGAGACAGGCGCTGGACGGCTGTAATGTGACAGTAATGTCAACAACTGTCAGTCAGGAAATGTCATCTGTCTTTATTATAAGTGATGAATGAAGACTACGTCATCACTATGAGAGTGATCTCTCTCTCTCTCTCTCTCTCTCTCTCTCTCTCTCTCTCTCTCTCTCTCTCTCTCTCTCTCTCTCTCTCTCTCTCTCTCTCTCTCCCATACCACCGTAGCCGTCACTAATCCGTCCTGCTATTGAAATTCTGCTTTAAATGTCTTGTCCCAGGATTGTGACGGCAGCTTGGGGGTTGGTGTGGCGGGGTGGGGAGGAGGGGATAGGTGTTGCCGTGGGAGGGGGGATAGATAGATAGTGATAGTGAATAAATGAGGAAGGTGAGGAGGGATAGAAAGGCATCATTGGATGGGTACTAAAGGTGGGGTGAGGGTAGAAGGGGGGATAGGATTAAACATGGCAGGTTTGGGATGGAATAGGAATGAATGAGGACAAAAAATTGTAATTTGGGAGTCGGGTGGTGTGGTGTGTTGTGGGAGAGAGATGGGATAGTATTATAAAGCTGGTTTTTTATTCGTCCTTGGGATGGGATAGGTCGTCCTCTCTCTCTCTCTCTCTCTCTCTCTCTCTCTCCTCTCTCTCTCTCTCTCTCTCTCTCTCTCTCTCTCTCTCTCTCTCTCTCTCTCTCTCTCTCTCTCTCTCTCTCTCTCTCTCTCTCTCTCTCTCTCCCCTCCACCTTCCTTTCCTGCAATATATCTCCCTTCTTTCCTTCCTCAATCTCCTCCCTTCTTCCCTCAATCTCCCTCCTTCCCTCAATCTCCCCCTCCCTCCCTCCCTCCCTCCGTCAACTCGAGCGAACAAAGGGTCAAATTCTCCATAACATTTACAGTCGGTCGCACGTGTTCTGGGGGTATCCCGCGCCAGAATCTTGGCCCCTATGGCTGGGGGCCACTAAGACCCGTTTTACCTTGGATTTGGCGGGTAATTTGCGCCACGTGCCATACCTGTGATCCCCTCAACCAATATCCAGGTAATATCTGGGTAATAAGGGGTTCAGCTGCCCTCAGATTCATCTCCCCTCGCGGCTTACCGGCACAGCATCCATCCGTCCGATTTGGCACGCGTGTCGAAATCAGAGATGTGGATTTATTGTGAGTGCCTTTTAAACTGTGTGTGTGTGTGTGTGTGTGTGTGTGTGTGTGTGTGTGTGTGTGTGTGTGTGTGTGTGTGTGTGTGTGTGTGTCTGTGTCTGTGTCTGTGTCTGTGGGTGTGTGTGTGTATGTACTCACCTATTTTTACTCACCTATTTATGCCTGCAGGATTGAGCATTGACTCTTGGATCCCGCCTTTCGAGTCATCGGTTGTTTACAGCAATTACTCCGGTCCTATTTCCCTATCATACCTAGTTTTAAAATTATCAATAGAATTTGCTTCCACAACCTGCTCCTGAAGTGCATTCCATTTTCCACTACTTTCACGCTAAAAGAAAACTTCCTAACATCTCTGTGACTCATCTGAGTTTCCAGCTTCCACCCATGTGCCCTCGTTCTGTTACTATTCCGTGTGAACATTTCGTCAATTTCCACTCTGTCAATCCCCCTAAGTATTTTATATGTTCCTGTCATATTCCCCTTTCCCTTATTTTTTTTCTAATGTAAGGCTCAGTTCCTTCAGTCTTGTTGCAAACTTCTGAACCTTTTCCAGTTTCCTTATGTGCTTCTTCAGATGGGGACTCCATGATGAGGCGGCATACTCTAAGACTGGCCTCGCATAGGCAGTGTAAAGCGCCCTAAATGCCTCCTTACTTAGGTTTCTGAATGATGTTCTAACTTTTGCCAGTGTAGAGTACGCTGCTGTCGATATCCTATTTACATGTGCCTCAGGAGTTTTTTCAACATCACATTCTTCTAGACATGCCACATGTATACATCGAACACATACATGCAGTATATACATACAAAAATTCACCTTTCTTTCAGATGAGGTTATATGGAGGATGAACCCAGATCGAAGAGAGAAAATGGTTGGTGAAGGAAAACGGGATGCGGGAGATTAGCGGGGATAACCGCAGAGCATCGCAGAGCACCGCAGGCGGACCGGACCGTCCGAACACCCTGCGGACCGTCCGGAACTGGTCCTAAACATCCGTAAAGGTGGACGGATCCACCATGTCTTCACCCGTCAGTCTTGGACAGACCAACTCCGCGACTCTGGACGGTTCCCCTCTGTCAACAGGTGAGTACAGAGAGACAGGAACAGAGACATGTATGAATACATTGTGTTGTACTAAAGGAGAGAGTGGAGGAGAAGGAGGAGGAGGTGAAGACATGGAGGGCAGAGTGAAGGATGTTTTGGCGGGAGGCTCCGTGTGGTGCCTCTCCCGCCGTCTCCACGACAACCCTTAACTCTGGCATCTGCTGGGACAACCCCGGTCTACTGGTGGCTTGTTGTGTCTCTCCCGGTGCTGGTGGCTTGCTATCTTCGTACCGGTAATACTGGTCGTATAAATGGATCTTACCGGTAACGTTTCACGATTTTATCAGATTTAAATGTACAATTTTGAATCGAATTAGCTTCAGCTACTTTTTATCTAGCATATTCCATTTATTAACAACTCCAACACTGAAAAAAAGTAATTTTTGAAGTCCCTGTGACTCCTTTCCATCTTTAGTCTCCATCCATGACTCCTGGTTTTGTTGTTCCAAGCTCTGTACAACGCTGCTTTGTCTACTTGGTCAATTTCCCTAAGAATCTTAGATGCTGTTATCATGTCCCTGCTATCCGTTGTTTCCTTCCGTGTCGTAAGATCTAGTTCACTTAGTCAGACATAGTTTTACCTAGTTCCTCATAGCTCAGTCCCTTCAGCTCAGGAACGAGTCTTGTTGCATGTCTTTGGACCTTGTATAAGCTCTCCTTGTCCTTTTTCAGGTACGGATTCCATGCTGGGGATTAATATTCAAGAGTGGGTCTCATCTTATCTGTACATAAAGCACGAAAAAAGCCCCTTTGTCCACGTTTCTGAAGGATACAGGGATGTTGGCCAGTATGCCATATACAGCTGTTGTTATTGTGGTAATGTGGGCTTGTGGCATCAGATCTGGGGTTATGTCCACTCCCAGGTCTTTCTCATTATCTGATTGAAGAATCTGTCTTCCCTACATCCTACACTGCTGTATAGGTCTTAGCACTCCTGTTACAATACTCATAACTTTGCATTTGGTTAGGTTAAATTCTAGCAGCCATTTTTCAGACCACTTCTGGAATGTGACCAAATCCGTATGAAATGTCTCGCAATCTATCTATTTCCTGACTTTTCTCATTAGGTTTGCATCATCTGCAAACGTTGATATGAAGGAGCCAATTTCCTCTAACAGCTCGTTGACATATATTGACACAAACAGGATGTCACTGCTCTCACTGTAATGCTTTGTTTCCTTCCTGGGAGATACTCTCTGACCCACCTTAAGACTTTTCCCAGATACACCAGCCTGCTTCACTTGGTTGAGTAGGAGTCTTTCGTGTGGGATTCAATGTTCAATGCCAGGAGTGCACTCTGTGAGTCACAGTGTATAATTCCACTGCCTTTGTTTTTTTTAAATTCAGTGGCAAGGTATATATGCACGCATTAAAGGTAAGAGACATATTTGTAAATATAGGTTATTGGCCTATGCCTCTTGCTGTGGCTATTGATTTATATATATAATATATATAATGTTATTCCTATAGTACGACGCGCCTCTTCCGGCAGAACTATGGCTCCGGGGAACCTCCATGACGTCATCGTCTTCATCTGTGACGTCAACGGAAGTAAACGACTTCCGCTCCTACGCCACACTGAAGCCTTTGACTAATGGTAAGTACTGTGAAGGTAGACCTAGCCCCCAGCTGGTGGTAAGTACTGTGAAGGTAGACCTAGCCCCTAGCTGGTGGTAAGTACTGTGAAGGTAGACCTAGCCCCCAGCTGGTGGTAAGTACTGTGAAGGTAGACCCAGCCCCCAGCTGGTGGTAAGTACTGTGAAGGTAGACCTAGCCCCCAGCTGGTGGTAAGTACTAGGATGAAGGTAGACCCAGCCCCCAGCTGGTGGTAAGTACTAGGATGAAGGTAGACCCCAGCCCTCAGGTGCTGGTAGTAAGTACTAATAGGAGGAGCTTTCGAACTGTGATCTAAGTGCTACCACCGTCACTGTGTCTCGTTGTCTGCAACTCTTGTTATGTGTGGGTGTTCGCAAGAGTATCACTCACTATATGCAAGAAATACGTAGCTTAATAAATACATAATGACATTGCAGGCGATGAGTCACAATAACGTGGCTGAAGTATGTTGACCAGACCACACACTAGAAGGTGAAGGGTGACGACGTTTCGGTCCGTCCTGGAAGGACAATCGACTTGAGATTGGTCCAGGACGGACCGAAACGTCGTCGTCCCTTCACCTTCTAGTATGTGGTCTGGTCAATATAATGGCATAAATATAGAATGGATAGAAGCAGCCTAAGCTTCTCTATTCTTTTGAGTTGTATATTATTATTATCTCAGTAAGCTTACTTGAAATTATATGAGACATGTTGTGAAGCAACAGTTAGATTGATCTTTGTGTTACGATTTTACAGAAGGTGTGTGTGAGAGTGGAGGAGCAGAGAGAGAGAACTCTGTGGTGGTGGCGGCTGGGAGTGACGCAGAGACTGGAGGAGATGGAGGAGGACCTTGCAGTACACATGGAGGCAACGGTGGGAGTGGAGGCGCTGTCAACGTCAATGAAGGTGGTGTTTGCGCTGGAGGAGTAAGCGGAGGAGGAGGAGGAGGGCGCAACAGTGGAAGAGGTGGAGGAGGAGGAGCAGGTGGCAACGCAGGGCGGGGGTTACGTCCTCATTCGACGCCAGCGACGCTTCTGTGGCTGGAGGAGAACTACGAGATGGCAGAAGGCGTCTGTATCCCCAGGAACACTCTCTACCTCCACTACGTCGACTTCTGCGCCAAGAGATCTCTCCAGCCAGTCAATGCCGCAAGCTTCGGCAAGGTCAGTGGCAAGCGTTAAGCTTCGGCAAGGTCTGTGACAAGCTTTAAGCTTCGGCAAGGTCAGTGGCAAGTTGTCTGCAAGATCAGTAGGCATCCTTTCCAAGTCCCTGACCGAGAGAGATAGAGAGTGGATGAATGAGTGTGGGATCAAAAGATATATACACAGAAAGCACATAAGAACATGACATAGACACAGACACAGGTGTCAGACCTGAGTTCATCTCTTAGGCAGGACCAACCAGGTGAGTAATTACCAGATGTAAACAAAGATCAGCTGGTCGCCGGTCAGCTGAGTCAAGCGGTCGTAGGGTTTAGGGACTGCATGTAATTTCCGGTTTCTGATTTGCTTATACAGACATTATATTGTAATTTCGTGACAAAAAGGTCGTGTGACCACTGTTGTCATAAACATAAAATGGGACATAGAGGCGTGAACCTCAGTACAATTGTCAGTGATAGTATACTAGTCAATATACTCAGATTAACTCAAACGGGATGTTGGAAGACCTAAATAGACTTGGAAAATTGGCAGACATGGTTTAGTGGTAAAAAGTGTTGAATTATAAGCCCACCCTCGTATCTACTCTTGCCCACCCTAGAACCCCATTGACGTCACATACTTGCCCACCCCCAGATCATCCGGCAGCAGTTCCCAGGCCTGACAACACGACGGTTGGGGACGCGAGGACAGAGCCGCTACCACTACTACGGGATCGCCATCAGGGAGGGCTCCGTCTACTACGAAGTCCACTACAGCAAGAAGGGCAACTCTAGGTACGCGTCCACTAACACAACCTCTCTGTGTTATATCTCTGGTATATTAATATATGTTCTATATTTACACATATTTACATTAATATTACACACAGATATCACAATAGCGTGATGCATCAAATGAATAAATCCACAAGGGCCGTGATGAGGTTCGAACCCTCATCACGGACTTGTGGATTTGTTCATTAACATTAGCATATTTATTTAACAAACGTAATAAATGAAACTAATAAATGTCTCTTATTACAGTGTAATAATAGGTATTTATAATATAATAAATATTTACGATGCATACATTTATATTTCCAACAAAATAAGAGATATATTTGTTTGTGTATTATAATATATTTGTATTATTAAAATGGCTGTAGGCTCTGAATATGACTTTAGCATCAAGGAACAGCCTGTTAGAGAACATATCAACACTTCTGTTTGTTAGAATTTTTGAAAACTAACTCGAATATATGGGGTTGAGGCGTGTTACAAATGTGTTTACAATACTGATAACGACATCAATGACCTAACCACGAGGGTAGAGTTATCTATGTCGGTGACTAACCATGGGGTAGAAAGCAAGGAAATGATGAGGCCTTGGGGTTGGACGGGGGAAAGGAATGGTGCCCAACCACTCGGACGGTCGGGGATTGAACGCCGACCTGCATGAAGCGAGACCGTCCAGTCCAAGGGTAGTCGAGTCCTCTACGACAGTAACCTAACTACAAAGAAACGTACAGAAGTTTCCAATAATAATTTGAATTCGTTGTTAAGGGACAGGAAGCCTGTGTATATACATATACTTTAGGCTTGTAGCGAGGTTCCCAAAGGTCAAACTTCTGACCTTTGGGAATAGGTAGGATACCTATTTACTGCTAGGAGGACATACGCATTAGGTGAAAGAAAACGTACCCAACCATTTCTGTTCCGGCCCGAGATTCGAACCCGGGATCCCCGATTGTGAGTCTAGAACGAAGCCATCTGTACTACGAGACCCTATTAATGAGGCTTCTCATAAAAAATACCCAGAAGGCTAGAAGACCTGATCATAATCTCACTCAAAATTTCTAAAGCTGATATGACACGACAAATTTAGATCGACTGGAAAGGCGGCATCCAAGAGCCGAAGCTGGACCGAGCAGGTAAAAAATAAGTGAGGACACATACATTAGTGGTCAATACTGAGGGTAGTCGGCTGTCAGACAAGCCCCTCTTCCCCCCCCCCCCCCTCTGCCCCACTTCCCACCTTATCACCAACAATATTCCCGGGATTTAATTAAGTAGCAAATATCACAAGATCCCAAATTACTACACCACTACCAATCGTGTGGACTTGAAGAGCTCGCCCACCCTCTTCCCAGGAAGGGGTCGCCGGGTGCCCCAACTTCCTAAGCTTTAGTCCAACGCTTCTGTCCCAAGTTTCTGTCCTAAGCTTCGTTGCTGTGTTCTCTATAATAATTCAAAAAGACATTGTGGTTGTAATTTTTGTGGGTGGCTTAACATTACTTTCAAAGATGAATGAGAGAAGCTGGTCGAAGTTTGGTGTTGGCCAGCGGGAGGAGGCTGAGGGGGAGGGGGTGTTCTCCTGAGATGTTGCTATGACGACTGGTGACTCCTCCCACTGCTGGTGTGTTGGGTGGAGTCAAGGGGCGGCGACGACCAATGGGACACCTCGGAGGGATGTTTGCCCCGCCCACTCCTTCACGCCTGGTTTGTGCTCTTGATGCCATACATGACCACTAGACTAGACACCAA